CCATTTCTCCTTTAATTTTAAATCTTCAAATTTGCAGCTTTACTGTTTCCTCAAAGTAAGTTTCTTAGCTTTTACTTTTTTGGGAGTTCCAGAGCAGCAAATGGCAAGTTCCACTGTTGTGCTTGATAAAACTTCCAATGCCTTACACAGTTAAAACCCAGCTGTGAATGCTCTGTGTGTGAGCACACCCACATGCACATACCACAGTGAACCATTAGTCATTTACCAGTTGTGATTAGTTTTTCCAATGTTCTTACTTAATAATTCTCTTGTTCCTTGGGGAGAGCAATAAAAATGGATTTTATTTTTCTAATGCACTTGCATTTTAAGTAGGTAAAGTCTCTTTAGATCCCCATTTGCCTAGCAAGTAGATGAATATGTTTGTCTTCAAATTTAAATGACCAGTGGGCTGAGACCAAGTGCGATAAATTTTGGTGCAGGAAGACAACATTAAGAAAATAATAAGAAATGTAGTTATGGGATTTACAGTGTGAAGAAGTTTTGACCTTAAACGTTCCTTCAGTGCTGGAGTTGTTGTCTTTCACAAAAGCACATTTCTTTGCAGCTCTGGGGTCATTCATTCTCCCCCGGACCAAGACCTTTTTGGTAAGGTGCAGTGCTGTCCATTGCACCCAAACACACAGGTTACTCCTGGCTCGCTCCTCCATTCTACTTCTCCAAGATCCTCACAAGGCTGGAATAGGTGAGAGTTTGTCTCTGTGGATTCTCAGGTTTCCTGTGACAGAGGAGATCCATTCCCTTCACCTTTCTCAGCTGGGGTTTGTTAGTTCTGATCCAGCACCCTCACATCAACATCTATTCTTTTGAGGCTGGGTGAAGTAAGTAATGGTTCCTGGACCTTTGTTTTAATAGGGTCAGTTTGAAGTTGCTCTTCTGACATAACTGTTACACTAAGGGCTTTTTCTGGATGTTCTCACTTTGGGAGTCTTGCCTCATAACCACATCAGATGTGCTCAGAGGCATAATGTACCTATGGTCATGCTGGAGGTGTTGGTGTTCATGCAAGTCCTGCAGTTCCGTAGCTCTGGAGGGGAGCAGTTTCTCTGTATGCAGTTTTAATCCAAGGTTTTAGAGAGGGAGACTTGCAGGTTATCTATAAATCTATGATTTTCACATGATCTTACACCGTAAATTGCTGATACACCCATAAAAATGAAATTTCCATCCCTTTCCCATATACTGACCAAATAAACCACGTTTACAGACATCTGGATGTTAATACTTGGCAACAGATCTCTTACGGAGTTCCTAAGCAGGAAAATTGATGGAGAAATATATTCAAATAAAAAAGGATATTAATTTTAGTAATCCCAGACTGGCCTGATCATTAGTCAGTTTGTCTTGACAACGCCAGGATAGCTTTATTGAAGACAGAAATAGACCATGTGTTAGGGATACTGTTTCCTTCTTCCAACAGGGGCTGAAATTTAGCAACAGAAAATGTGTCCAAAGAGCAGCACCAGGAGTATTCCTATATGTACTATTATAATAGTATGTTCTTTCAACTGACGCTTTGTCTGTTGAGCTGCTAGTTCGCATTTCAACAACTTTGAACCTGAATAGCACACAAACAAGAAATACTTTCAGCATTTTAAGCATTTAAGTTCTCAGGATTTGCAGAAGGATTTGCATCCTTCTTAAGGATGTTAATAACCAGGAAAGTCAGGGCAGTGTGAGGTTCACCTTCTGAAGGCAGCTTCTTTTCAAGCTGAGCAAAAATGTTTGAGTTCTTGTTTATCTTGGGGAATTGTAGAGGGGAGTGTTCTGCATCCTTCCTACCTTACTTTAATTTGATCTTGTTCTTTACGAAAGTGCTGAGGCGCTGGCACAGGGTGCCCAGAGAAGCTGTGGCTGCCCCATCCCTGGCAGTGTTCAAGGCCAGGTTGGACACAGGGGCTTGGAGCAAGCTGCTCTAGTGAAAGGTGTCCGTGGCAGGGGTTGGAACTGGGTGAGCTTTTAGGTCCCTTCAATCCAGATCATTCCATGGTTCTATGATACGTGGAGCCAGGATCTCTTCTTCATTGCTGCTCAGTCATTTCACTGTCACTTTCCCTTTCCACTTTGGAAACTAGGCAGTGATATTCCATGTGAGTGAGAGAGACGGATGAGTAGGAAAAAGTCAAGATGATGTTTGCTTTTCCTTCATGAAACTCTCAGGGCTACATCCTTTAATCTAAAGAGTTGGGAAGCAGGGAAGTAGTGTGTTCCCAGCCAAAACCAAAAGGAGGTTAAAATAAAACACCTTTTATTGTGTGTTGTGTATGACTGAGTGTGGCTCAACTGAGTTTTTCACTGAAGACTGAGATTCAGCATCCTGATTGGTATAAAAGATATGTCTTCCAACATCAACAAGTTAGGTGTGTATGATATACCCCTTTGTTTAATTATGCAAGCTTGAGGCTGTTCATTGTTAAATTGCAGTAGTAGCACCTTACCATCCTCTTCTCTTTAACTTACATTTAGTTACAATCTGAATAGAAAAGAATCAACCACCGCCTTGAAGTGACAGCAGAATGAAGAAGTGTGAAACTAGGTCTGCTGGCATTAATTATATTGTCTGGAGTCTGAATATCCTGGTTCACAATGCTGGTTTCTGGGATGATCACAAACCACCATAATATTTTTGCTTTAAAGAGCTGATGTTTGCTGGCTGTTTGGATTTAACTTTAATATATGATTAACAGGGAGAAGGAAATTCATTGGTGCTGAGAACACTTAGGAAGTCTTTTTTCTCTCAGCTTCCAGTGAGTAGTTTCCAAAGCACCTTTTCCCCATAATTACAGTTTGTGATCATCAAATTATTATGAACAAGGGGCTGTCCTTCAGAAATTAATTCAGGGTAGTCTCCTCTGTGTGTAAGTTCCTGCTAGTCTGGCATCAAAGTTCCAAACCTGGAGGGCTTGCATCCAGCCCTGGATGGTCTGAATTTAAGTCTCCACTGTGCTGTGGACCTGCCTGAAGGAATCCAGAGGAGGCCATGGAGATGCTGCGAGGGCTGGAGCAGCTCTGCTCTGGAACCAGGCTGAGAGAGCTGGGCTGGGTCAGCCTGGAGAAGAGAAGGCTCCTGAAGGGGAGACCTTAGAGCAGCTCCAGTGCCTGAAGGGGCTGCAGGAAAGCTGGAGAGGGGACAAGGGCCTGTAGGGCCAGGCCAAGGGGAATGGCTTTAACCTGCCAGAGGGGTGACTGAGATGAGCTCTTAGGCAGAAGCTCTTCCCTGTGAGGGTGCTGAGGTGCTGGCACAGGGTGCCCAGAGAAGCTGTGGCTGCCTGTCCCGGGTTCAGCAGTAGCAGTCATTTTTCTCCTCCTTAGTAGCTGGTGCAGTGCTGTGTTTTTGACTTTCAGCCTGGGAACAGTGCTGATAACACCAATGTTTTTAGGTGCTGCTCAGTAATATTTAGTCTGACCAGGGACTTTGTGAGTGTCATGCTCTGCCAGGGAGGAGGGAAGCCAGGAGGAAGCAGAAAGAGGACACCTGACGCAGACTAGCCAAAGGGGTATTCCATACCACAGCAGGTCATGCCCAGTATAGAAACTGGGGGCAGTTACCCATAAGGGCTAGGTCACTGCTCAGGTCGGGCTGGGTATCGGTCGGCGGGTGATAAGTGGTTGTATTCTCTTCCCTTGTTATTTCCCTTATCATTATTATTATTGTTGGTAGCAGTAGTGGTTTGTGTTAAACCTTAGTTACTGGGCTGCTCTTATCTCAGGCCATGGGATTTACATTCTTTCGATTCCCCTCCCCATCCCTCCGGGAGTGGGGGGAGGAAAGGTGGGGGGAGTGAGAGAGGGCTGCATGGTTCTGCGTTATCAGCTGGGCTTAAACCACGACACTGCCCCATCCCTGGCAGTGTTCAAGGCCAGGTTGGACACAGGGGCTTGGAGCAAGCTGCTCTAGTGGAAGGTGTCCCTGCCTGTGACAAGGGTTGGAACTGGATGAGCTCTAAGGTCCCTTCAACCCAAACCAGGCTGGGATTATGTGATTCAGCCTCAATGTGGTTTGGATGATGTATCACAGAATTCATATTCACTGGCTACCTACTTGAAAGCAGCTTCAAAGTGCTGCAAGGTAAAGTCTATCTTGTAGCTACCAAATACATCTGTAACAGCTCTTCTGAGGAGCTGGGGCTCAGCTCTGAAGTGCTTCAGCAGGAAACCAAGCACAACCTGTGGCTCCGTGCCCTCTCACCTCCCATTTTCCCCTTTGCCAGCCTGCAGGTGAGCTGACATCTTGCACTATGGAAAAAAAGGCTAATTTCAAGGGCTTTGGCTCCTCTGTGAGGGTTTGGGATGACATTGTTCTTGGTTTGGTAGTTTGCAGCCCGAGGAACCTCCTTTGTGAAGCCTGGGAGAAGCACCATGCTAGGTTAAGGGTTAATCCAGTGTCTTCCTAGATGTCTCCTGTTTCCTGAAAAATGACAAGTGTTTGTGGGAAGGAAGTAAATGATCGTGAAATGAGTGATCATGGAATGGTTTGCCCACAGTGAAAGTTTTTTCCTAACCCCCACTTAGGAGCTGGCTTGTGCCTTTGTGTGTGAGGGTTTCTGTCCTTTCCAGGTTTCTGGATTTTATTATTATTTGATCCTTACTAATGTAACTCAGGAGAATTTAATCCTCTTACAGGCTTGCTGCTGACTTTGGGCTCAGTCCTGCTCCCTTTTCAAGGAATTTGGCCATTAGACACCTTTAAGTTGAGCTCTGACGTCGATTGCAGCTGATTTTACTGGCAGCTCTCTCCTTGGCTGTAAATGTAGTTGTAACTTCCGTGCAAGAACAGTTTGAATGAGGAGTAGATGGAGGTCTGCAGGCAGCAAGTGCTCTGTCTGCAAACTTGCATTCTGCCTCTCCCCAGCTGCCAGCCTGGCATTTAAAAGGAAGCCCCTAAAGATGCCAAAAGCTTGGGTCAAGGGAATCGTCCATGAACCTGCGCGGGGAATATCCTGCTAGCTTAGGAAGCCATAAATATGTTCCTTTCCATCTAGGTGCCCCTCTGGCTGCGGAAAGGGAGAAGAAGCGTCTCTCCAGAGCTGTCTTTGTGCTGCCCTGGGTGGAATCCACAGAAACAAGTGAGGGTCCCAGATGTTCTTTTCCCCCTGCTGTGTTGTAAGGAAGCAGTGGCTGCACTCTGGGTCTTTGGGGGCACTGCTCAGGTAGGCTGTGCTTGGGACACAGCTCCCAAAGGTGTTTCCCTGTGGCAAGTGTGCAGCACATCTCTCAGGACATGCCAGCCTCTCCTGTTCCTTTAGTTGTGGTGGCTTTGGCTGTTACTGAAGAGTGCTGGAGCTGCTCCTGGTTGCTTCCAGTGAGACATCGCAGGAAAGATGATGCCTTTTTCACGCTCTGCTACTGACCAGCTCCAGCCCTCTGGGTTTATCACCAGCAGGACTCCAGCAGGTTTTCAGGAATTGGTGGAAGGAATGTGAAACTGAGCATCAGAGCATCTCATGGACTGTCCTGTGACCCACTGGCCATGGCTGGAGGGATGATGCTGATACTTCTTGGTCACATAAGCCTTACTCAGAAAGCCTATTTGGGGGGAGAAACATCACAACCTCATCCAGAGAGATGACAGATAAATGTATTGCAGTGGGCTTAACTGCAAAACATCCACCACCTCCCCTTTCCGAGATGCTGCTGCTGGACTTTATGAACTGTTTGGGAAGCCTTGTTTCCCAAGGTGAGCCAGGAATGTGGAATTCCTGAAGTTTTGTTACTTCCTCTGGTGTAAGGTGTCACCAGGACCATGGAACAGGACCAGCAGCGCTGTTCAGGCTGCCTTCTCTTTTTAATTTTGCTGCTTTTTCGTTGCCTGGGTCCTGGAACACTGCTGGATTTTAGGAATAATTCAGCATGTTGCAATCTGTTTGCATTCAGCAGCTTTGCCCTCCCACATCTGGAGGCTGTCCCTCCCAGACAGCTATTTCTGCAGTGCTCTGTGAGAGTCAGATCACTCAGGATGCAGGAGTATCTGCAAAGTGCCTAGCTGCCATGAGAGCTCCTCTGTCAGATAGCTTTTGTGACTTCTTCCCTTTGAAAGGTCAGTATGAATTGTGAGTGAGGTGAATATTGTTCTTCACCTTGGAGAATTCTGGAAGGAGCTCCCACATCCTGCTGTGTGGAGACCCCATCCCACTGGACCTTGAATGGGATGTGCTGCTATCATTGCAGGGAGATCATCTGGATGATGTATGTAACTGTTTCCAGTATGGGTTTCTGGGATGCTGGGCAGAGCTGTTGGAGCCCAGGGGAAACTGGTTTGTACCCAGATTTTGTGGTCTCAGATTCCTGCATTTGTTGAGGGTGGGATCGGGGATCTGTATTTTTAGCTTTGATACAGAAGTCCTAACCTTTCATTAGATTTCTGATTGCTGGCATTGCCTTCCTGGACTTCTAGAGCAAAATCTGATGAGGCCCTGGGCCAGATGCCCTAAGGAAAGAAGCCTTTTCTGCCTGCCACTGTTGGGCATGTGTTCTCTGCCCTATTTCCTGCCAAACTGAAGTGCATGCAGGGTGCTTCAGCAGCTGCCAGTCACTGCGGGAGACAGGCAGCACCACAGAGCCCCTGGAGACAGGCAGAAGAGAGCAGCACATTCCCTGTCTTTCACTGGAGGTGCACTGCAAGCAGAGTGGTCAGAAATGCATTCAGGTCCCAGGGAGGTGTTTCTTGGGGTACTTGAAAAACCTACCTCATCTCAGCATGTCAGTCCTTTATATCTGAGGATTGCCTTGTAACAAGGCTGCTGGTGGCCTTTCTTCCTAGTAAGAGGTGATGCTGATGTATGTACATGGGTTTCACGAGATTAAGTGTGACCTGACTACATATATAACAGCATTACTCCTTAGACCTCTTCTGCAGTCATTGTTCCCCTTGGAAGGACTCATGAGCATGAAGGAGGAATGATATTTACTGGAGGCTGACTTTTAACTAAACATCTTTTAAGCACATCAGGAAGAATTCTTCCCTGTGAGGGTGCTGAGGCGCTGGCACAGGGTGCCCAGAGAAGCTGTGGCTGCCCCATCCCTGGCAGTGTTCAAGGCCAGGTTGGACACAGGGGCTTGGAGCAAGCTGCTCTAGTGGAAGGTGTCCCTGCCTGTGGTGCAGTTTGGAACTGGGTGAGCTTTTAGGTCCTTCCAACCCAAACCAGGCTGGGATTCTGTGATTTTGAAACTGGGTTTGCAGCAGGATAATCCAATGATTGTTCAGCTTGCAGCAGGAATATGTTCTGCAGGACAACAGAATGTTCTGCAGGCAGCAGCCTGAATACGAGTAAGGGACAGCACTAAACCTCTGTGCTAGTGGGCTCAGTTGTATCTTTCCCTATACTTTTCCTGAAATCCTAATAGTACCTGTTGGTATCTTCCTGGTTTGGTGGAGCTGTACAGTGTTAATGTCTACATGGTGATAGGAGAGATCTTGATTCTGAGTAGATCTGCTTAAGCAGCGTTAGTTTGGCTCTGTCTGGTGCCACCTCTTCAGATGTTCAGAGGTGGGGAGTTTGCAATGGCCTTGCAGGCATCCCTGCCTGCTTGGTGTCCCTTGTAGCTCTTCCCATTGACAGCTCTGTTGTTGCATACACTGGGGATTGTGTCCCAGCTGGAGCCTACCTTGGTAGTTACAACCAGAGCAGGAGAAGCAGTAGTACACAGGCTAATGCTGCTCAGTGAGTTTCTTGCTAAGAACAGCACTGGAAGCATTGGATGCTGTCAGCAAAGACAGCTTTATTGGGTAAGAAGTCTGGCACTGGGCTGCAGCCCTGGAAGAAGCTGGTGTTCAGAGAGGGTGAAGCTCCACATGGGCAGTCCTCTGGGACTTCTGAATTCTCTGTAAACCTGAGACTTGGCAGCCTTTGCTGAGGTTTATCTCCTTGAAATCGCTGAGGAAGAGATTAGTGCCAATACCAGCTGGAACAAATCCTTACTTCTCCTAAGGACTTGTTTCACTGGAACCTCTGGAGGTCATTCTTCCTCTGGGAAAACTCTTCCCTAACAAACCAAGCAAAGCCCTGTTGGGGTATGCTGTTGCACTTGTCATGTTTTCATTTCCCCGTGCTGCCCAGGGAGGGATGTGATCCTACCTAGCACGTGGACTCTGCTCCTCACAGTGGGATTCCCACAATCATTCCTGGGTTACAGACACTACACCCAGCCATGCCTGTTTGTGATGTGCCTCTAGCTTTCAGTTTTCTTCTGTTCTAACAAATATCCTTATTTATTGAGCACTTTTACTCCAAATTAAGGCCGCAATAGTTTCCTTCCTCCAGTTCATCTACTACATGGCTCATTACACTTCAGACAGGAGGCTGGCTTGTGTCTTGGGGACATCCAGTGATGTGGGGCTGATTACTGATGACATGATAAGAATTTTCCCTGCTAATAATTGGTTTTTTTTTGCAACAGATACACAGCTCTTCACTCATGATCATTACAGACTCTTTGTTGTTAGAAAGGGTCCAGGGCAAATTGAGAACCTCAGCGCTGTTGTATGACCACAGAAGGACACTGCATAAGATAATATAATGAAACATAGTTAAATGTGACCCACCAGTGCTTTCATCACTTGAATGTTCTCACAGTCATGTTTTGCTGCTTCTGCTCTGCCTTAAGCACTGGCTGAAGCAGCAGTTCCTTTTCATGTCTGTATACATGCCTGAGCTCTGTCTTGCTTGCTCAGCCGAGGCTTTTAAAATTCCCTTAGGTTTAGCTCAGAACTGCTGTGCTCTGATTAAGATACAAATAGTTTCTGGTAGCGGGGGTAAAGTTCCAGTGCCCAGCTATTTAATAGTTGCCATTTTTCTCTTATAGGTATCTATAGCTTCTACTTTCCTTCTGCCCAGCAGAATAAAGAGCAGGAGGTGATTCTCTGGTTTAGTGTTGAAACCCCATGTGCTGAGGGACTGCAGTGTGAGCCCAAGTGTGTACAGACTTACAAGGCATAGCAGCTTAAAAGAGTTATTTTTTTCAAAACTAAAAAGATTAAGAAGTAAAATGAAAGCTTAATGTGCAAACTGTGGTGTGTTTGAACACAGTATGGAGGAGGTAGAAACAAGGCTTTAACTTTGCTAATGGCATTAAGACATGAATACAAACAGCTGAGCTACTGCAGGGAGCTCGATGGCACCCAGCTCAGCTGCTGGGTACCTCCTAGCCTGCTCCTGTGGAGAAGTAAACCACATTCATTTCCAGATCCTTTGTGGCTACACAAGCTGATGTGTTTCACTTGAATTGCGGTGGACTGGTAGCACACAACCCATCAGCTACTGCAGCTGGCTGACAAGACAGTGCTGCAGGTTGTGATGGGGTGACTGCTTAGGTCTGTCAGGTTGTACCCCAACATGTGTGTCAGACATCAGAAGATGGAGAAACCCCACTGTGCTGACAAGTGAAACTTTCCTCTTACTCTGATCCAGTAGCTGAGCCAAAGACATTCACTGTCCCCAGAATTCATGAGCATCTTGAGCTTTTCTGCATCTCTTTCCCTCCCAGCTGTGGTGAAGGGGGCTGTTGTTGGTGGGGTGAAGGGAGGGGTCTAGGGCACAAACACAGATGAAACCAGTCTCTGCCAGTCCTCCTGTTCACTGAGCATCTTACCTGTCTTGTGTGGTTTGGATTGCTGGTTTGGTCTCTGGGTTTAGTTTGTTATGTTCCATACAGGATCTTGGATGCAGTTAGTAACCAGTAAGCAGCAGCAGTGAGAACCAAGTGTAGAGTTGAGCATGTGGGCACATCCAGTCCATGCTGTAGTTGGCCTATTAAGACTTTCACTTCTAACAGCTTGTATCATGACTCTGTCTTTAGTTCTCTCAGTTTGTCCCCATCCTGACAAGCACTTGCTTACTATAGCCTTGGAACTTCCAAAGGAGGTTTCAGCAGGGCCTGCTGCTCTGTGTCTTCACTGCTGTGAGGTCTTCTGGAAGCTGTGCTGGAGAGTAGAGCTGCCTCAGTAGGACATAACAAATCAGAATATGCCCTGAGCCATAGAATGTGGGACATGCAGGGGACGTTCTGAAGCAGTGGTGGTCTCTGTGCCATAGAGATTTGACAGAAGCATGTGGGGATGAGTGTAAGTGCATGGCGGAGTCTGGCTGAGCAGCGTTGTCTGGAGTGCTGCCTTTCACCTCAGTTTCTAAAGTCACTGTTTTCTTCTTCCTACAGACAATTTTAGGTACACGTGTGACATTTGTGGGAAAAAATATAAATACTATAGCTGCTTCCAAGAGCACAGAGACCTGCACGCCGTGGATGGTGAGTACTGTTTTGACACCCAAACTAGAAGGAGAAGTCAGTGGGGAAGCAAAAGATGGTTCTGCAGGACTGTGTGGCCTGTGATGTACAGGACACTGCACTGCATGGCTCCTGCCTTGGTCAGTGGAGGCACAGTCCACAGGCACTGCAGGAGGGCTTCGCTGGGCTTGATTCAGTTTGTGTGCATCAAAATAACACCCTCTGCTGGGACGTGTGGTCCTTGCAGTCTGCGTGGAGGTTCGTGGTTAGGATGGCTGTGCAGGGACTGAGTACCTCAAGGTAAATTGTCAGTCTGGCTACTTACTGGGCAAGAGTTGGTCGCCTTTTGGTTTCCACAGGATTGTTCCCAACATCCTCCCCTTTGAGAAATCACATTCCAGAGTTGAGAAATGTTTCATTCCTGTTAATCACTGTGGTAGTGAACTGATGCGGTTGGCAGTGGACCTCACGGGCCAGTTTTTCCTCAGCGGATGTAGATGTGGCTAAGGGCTGGTGACACTTGGACAGAAGCAGACACCCTCCTCCAGAAGCAGTGTTTCTTTGGGCAAAATAGAAGCAACAACATACTTTGGCCTGCCCCCTGCTTCATGAGCATCTAAAGGTCCTCGACTGAGAACCTGCGGATACTCCAGGCTCTCACTGTGTATGCTGCATGCCTGTTAGTTCTGCTTCTCACTTGGCTAAAGGGGGGCCCTGGCAGAGTTATAGAGAGAGACTGCCTGGAAAGCAGTAGGTTTTGGATGTCTGGATATCTCAGACAAACAGGTGGCTTTGCACAGTACATGGCATCCAGAAAAATGGCTGGGTTTAACTGGAACGTGTGGCCATCTGAACGTGCTGTAAGAACAGCCAGTGTTCTCTTGCAGTGCACCACTGCCCTTCCCTTCCTCCCATGGGGAGCCAAAATTCAATTGCTGGCCCTGCAAGTCACTGTGAGATGTGTCTGCTTCTGTCAGAAGCATGTCTTCATAGCTATGGTTCAGGGAGCTCTGCTTAGGGTTACAGGAGGGCTTTGAAGAGCTTCACTTGTGTCCTGCAAGGACACTTAGCCTCAGTTCCTCAAGGGGCTGTTGTAGCAAACACAAGTGGGAGGCAGCTGTGCATCTGAACTTCACATGGGGTCCTGTCAGTGTAAGAACAAAGGCCTTGTGCATCTGTGTATATTAGGGCTGGGCATGCTCAAATAGTTCCTGTGTGGATGCTGCTGGGAAGAGGAGGGACTGGGGCACAAAGCCTGGTTTATTCTGATGGGGCTGAAACATGCTGAAGTGGTGCGTGAAATGCAGGAAGAAAACAAGGCCATTTCAGAGGATTTAATTTCTGTTTTGTTTCTTCCCCTTCTCCTTCTTCTATTCTGTGTTAGTTTTTAGTGTGGAAGGGGCCCCAGAAAACCGGGCAGGTAAGCAGAGCTCCTTCATGTGCTTTATTTCACAAACCTTTCCAAGCATTCAGTAGTTCAGGCACAGCAGGTCCATTTCTACACTTGCAAGAGTCAAGGGAGTTGTGTCACTGCTTGCAGCAGGAGAGGGAGCATCCTCTCTCCCTCCCCCAGTGTACAGCCAGTAGGTTGCTGCCCAGCCCTAGTAGATACCAGGCATTTTCTGTATGTACAATTGATCAGGCTTCTAAAATGCAAAGAAAAAGGTGGTTTATGTCTTTGGTGATTTAGTGAATTGTTCAAGGCATAAATGAAATTATTTGATAAAATGGGATGGGTTCTGATTTGTTGTTTGCTGTTCTCTTAGATGTTAGGAAGTCACTGACTAGTGTTTGTTAGCTGACTTGCTTGCAGACTGCATTACCACTTCAGACAGTATAACATCATTAGACAGGAGATGCACTGGAAGAAGATCAGAAAGCATGGATCAGGCTTTGCGATGTGTTTGTTCAGTCTTCGTCTGTATTAAACATAAACATATTAAACATAAACAAGGCATGTTGGTGGGCTGGGAGCAGGGTAATCCTGGGGCACCTGAGGGGAGACAAGTCAGTGAGAGGGGTCATTTGGTTTGTCTTGAACTCTTGTTACAGATGGAAATGTCATTACAGATGCAGGAGCATTCAGTGCCCATGTAGCTGTAGAAGGAAAACCTGAGGGTATTGTCAGCTCTCTTCCTGGTTCTGTTCTCTTGCAGACCCTTATGACCAGGCTGTCATAGCAGCAGATGAAGTGAAGGAGGAGGAGCCGGAACCATTCCAGAAGATTGGTCCAAGTATGAGTTATCCTACAGCTTCAAACGTGAAAGAGAAAGCACAAGCATTTCAAATCGGGCATTAGATGGAGAACCTCTAGGAGAGCCAGACAGCACTGCATTCACAGAGGTGGTGGCACCTCAGGGGTGCTGCTTTCAGCAGGGGTTAGGGCTTGTGTAGGATCAAATGAATCTGAAACACCAACGGCCTTGGCGCTATGAAACACAGCTTGACAGAGCAGCTGTGGCTGCCCCATCCCTGGCAGTGTTCAAGGCCAGGTTGGACACAGGGGCTTGGAGCAAGCTGCTCTAGTGGAAGGTGTCCCTGCCCGTGGCCGGGGGGTTGGAACTGGATGAGCTTTAAGGTCCCTTCCAACACAAACCAGGCTGGGATTCTATGATAATCTCCTGTAGCTTGGTCAGTTGTACTGGACCTTTTACGCATGGTCCATCGCCCTGGATGCTTCCTTTGCTGGGGAAAAGGATGTGTGAATTACCGGGCAGATAAGCTCCAAGTGCATGAGGAATATGCTCCAGTTTTTATCACCTGGCCAGTTCCTATGTGATAACCCAGGCAGTGGTTGTGTGAGAGGTTGCTGCACTCCTTTCTGATCTTTGTTTCATCTTCACAGAAACTGGCAATTACACCTGTGAATTCTGTGGCAAGCAGTACAAATACTACACTCCCTACCAAGAGCACGTGGCGCTGCACGCACCTATTAGTGAGTATCCTGCTGGAGATCTATTCATGACAGCCTGTGATTTACAGGGGCTGGTGATGAGCACCAGGATTGCAGGAGAGAGTAGTGTCAGTCCTGTGGGTCCTTCCCCTGGAGCTGTGGGGTTGCAGCTGCTAGGACATAGAGCATGTGCTGACCAGGGCCCTGGGAAGCCGAGCTGGAATCTCCTCAGAGGGATGCTGTTACTCTTAGGTGTGCAACATCACTGAATTTACCTAAGTCTATGCAATCTTGCACATGTTCTTTGGGGGTTTGAGATTTTAGTTTGTTCTTTAACTGGAGTGCTGCACATTTTTAGAGTCCCTTAAACAATCCCGGAACGTGCTGGGGAAGGAACATCTTTCCTATGAGCTGCTGAGAAATTATTGCAGTGATTTAAAAATTGGTTTTCAGCATCATGTAGATTGCCTTGACAGCTTGTTATCCCAGGCAATTATGTATTTCAGGGAGCTGGGCAAAAGGCAGTTCTGAGCACACTGCGCAGCACTGCAAACTGCACTCTAGAGGGACACTGCAGTCTGCACTCCCCACACACAGGGGAGTTTTAATGAGCTAATAAGTCCAATTCAAAGTGCAAAATTTTAGTAAAATAGTTGAAATTCTTGCTCCTTGCTGGGTTTGGATGCTTTGAAAGTGTGCAGAGAAGTTCTTTACCCCTGAACTTCATGCTTCTTTCACAGCACTGGCCAGCGTAGCTGCTCTTGGCAGCCCTTTGGCTGGTGCTGAGAATGGATGAGCTGAGCTCATGAGCTTAATGGTAGCTGCTCATCCACAGCCAGCAGAGGGAACATGTGCTCCTCCCTCACCAAATTCAGCTTTAGTTAGGTTTTTAAGTTATTATAATAAGGTAGCTTTGGGTTTAGACATACACAGAAATCAATTTGGAACATAGTCCACCAGAATATCACTTTTAAGGTGGGTTAAGGCTTGGTGGCTCTCAACAGCTCCCATTCAGGTTCTCTGAAGCATAGAGATGGACCAGGATCAGGGTAGAAGGTGTAGGGCATAAAATACCTCTATCACCATCACCACAAAGTTCGTCTTATTATCTCCTGTCTGCCTGAAGGAACTAACCCAGTGCTTAGGGTAGCATACACAACAGTTATTCCTAAACGTCCCTACAACCCCAACCTCCATCTCTTAATTCTGATGTTTTCAGGTCCTTAGGGAAGCTGTTGGTGTTTAGTGATCACCAGTAGGTAGACTTCCTAGTCTAGATGGGCCCTCAGACACTAAGGCTGTGGTGTCTCTAGTCCACAGTACAGCTAGCTAAGAAGCTTTTTGCTGTAAGGGCTGTGCATTGAATCTCCCCTCAGCAGTAGCAGATCCTTTTCTTCCCAGTGCTTCCCATTTCAAGGGGATTTATCGCTATGGATATCTCTCCACCCTCCCAACTATCTGTAGTAACTAGTTGCAGCTTGTGGTTCCAGTCCAGGCTCTCCACAACTGTTTTTCTCTGGAGGTGTTTACCTGAAGTGGGCCCTGCAGGTCTGCCTGCAGATACAAATGGTCCACGTAGATGCTGCCCTTCTCCCTGTGAAGAGTGCAGGATCCTGATGTTCACTTTTTGAATCCTGGGAGCCAGTTTTGGAGGAGGAGGCATGTTCTTTTGAATGCTGGGGTTGAAGCCATTCTTTCACCATGGTTTCTGCAGTAGCATTTTCTGAAAGCAAAAGAAGCTACCCCTGCTGCAGACTAGACCAGCAGTCACTGAGATATGCAGATGGGTTTCCAGTCCTTCCAGCAAATGCCTTTAACTATAAGGAAACTTCAGATCAGGAGAATAATAATATTTTCATAAAGTTTAACCCCCTCCCCATAAACTTATCTTTTTCCTTCTGGTTTTTTTTTAGCCCTTTTTTCCTTCTCCAGTTCCCATGACCAGTAAGATTTATGATTTACAGTGACAGGCCACTAACCCTCATGAGTATAGAGCAGAGGGCATGAGGAGCTCCAGGGCAGGCTGGCAACTCCATCCTCCCACCTTTCTACTGCTCAGACTCTGCTCTTCCTATAGACCAAGGTCCTGTGAGGCTTCTGTGAACACCTTGAGGTTTGAAAAGCACAACTGGCCCTAGTAGTCAGAAGAAGTAAAGCTGAGGCTGTGTCTTTACCCTGGTCTTGTCCTACTGGTTTTAAGGTGAATGCTGAAGAATTAGCTGTAGTGGGAATGGGTATGAAAACATTTCAGCATTCCCAATTCAAAGTTCTGGGTCTCTCTACTTGAGTGCAAGCTTCCCTTCCGGAGCCTGTCTTTCTGGTTTTCTGTGATAATGGATAAAAAATTCCTTGAAAATGGGCTAAACCAAGGACTCACATCCTGCAGGGTCAGCAGAGCCTTGCAGGATAAGTTTCGGTCAGTGCTGCTGGATACCTGCTGTCTGGAAAAGAGTTCTGCTGTGGGGTTCCCTGGAATTGTTAATGCCAAATGTCTCCTTCAGAAGCTCCCTTTTGTTAGAGAGGAGTTTTCCTATGGTTAGAACTGGGTTATTACTCAAACAGTGCGTATTCTTGTGCTGTTTCTGTCAGCCTATTCAGTCTTTCTAAGAAGGGTGTCAGAGGCTGTTTCCAAAAAAAGTTGAGTTGTAGGCACATTCATTGTCCTAGTTTTTGAAATGCCTCTGAATGGAGGTGCACAGGGAGAAGGGTTCAGAGATTGATCTGTCCTGCTCCAGGCTCCATCTGCTCTGTGGTGGGACTGATTTAACCACATTTGCAGGTGGCTGGGCTATTGTGATTGCTCTCAGAGGATGTGTCAACAGTGCAGAGAAAACCTGGTGTGTTAGGGATGTGGACTGGCTAGAAAAGCCACCAGCAGTAGGTTTTAGCTTGGTTCAAGTCCAGGCTCAAGAGTATGCACTCACCTCATCCTCTTCTGGTAACTGCAGATAAGGCAACAGACTTCCTGACCATGGCAGTATGTGGTGAGAGCACTAAAATCTGCACAGTTATCCATGTCTGTTGCTTCCAGGATGAAAATCTAAAGGGATGGCTGGGTCCTGAGTTCACTAATAGGTCTTTATGGCCCTCACCAGCTTCACACGAGGCTTCTCCCATATTCAAACCCTCTGTTTCAGTTCAGCTCTGGACCATCAGTCCCTGCCTGAGCTACTCTGTAGGATGTTGGTTGAGCTCAGTCATAGACATGCTTATTCCTGGCCGTGGATCCCGCTGGTGTGTATCCCAAAAACCAGTAGACTGACTTCTCAGCTTGACGTCAACCCTGTCTCATCACTGTGGACCTCCCTGAGGGTTGCCGCTGTATGTCTGGATACCAGGGCTGATCCTGCCATTGGCCTGTGGATTGACTTCCCAGCTTGACTACAGACCTGTCTCATCACCATGAACTGATCCTGACGACCTGGACTCTTGGTTAAACCTGGCTGCCATCTCTGGTCCTGCCTTGGTTACCTCCAAGGGGTTATGGGATGGGCCCGGCTGTCGAAGACTCTGGCCAGCCTTGGGATGGACTTGGCTCCACAGGGGACAGACAGACCTACATCCACCCTGGCACCTGAGATACACAAAGAAGTTCATCAAGCCTCTCTGCTCTACTACTTTTCTTATCATGAAGGACTCTGGATACAATCTGTTGATCAAAGGTACTTTAACACAGAGTTCCCTAAAGGCAGCTGCTGTCAAGGCCTTTTCTTTTAGGGAAAGGGATCCTTTTGGGTGGCATGTCTAGTTTCCACACAGGTCCTGCCTAACCAAGGAAAAGCCAGGTGCAGATTCCAGCTGGATGGTGTGTCTTCGCTTCCTCCATCTTAGTGAGTGAAATGTGGGAGTTCAGGTGTTTTTCCCACTCTCACAGGCTCCCCTGGCAGTATTTGTTGGTATGTACAAAGAAGCACATTAAGAATAGGTTGGAGCATGGGGTGGGGGGGGGTGTTCCTGTGGAAACACCCATTTCCAGTAGCAGAGGTTTCTGCTCAGCATGTTGAATTTCAGGCCATTGTTAAGGAATCACTTTCCATCATACTCATGAAAGAGGTGTTTCTCTAGAGGTGATGGTATAATTCCATCTGAACCATCGAATGGTTCCTCACCCATCCTGACAAGATCTTTTCTGAAAAAAACGGGATGCAGGAATTATGAGCCAGAAATTTTACCTGGAAAAAGCAAAGTTACTGAGCTAACCTGATACCTGTTCTGTTGTGATGGCACATCATGGTGCTGTGTGGATTTAGGTATCCTTCTACGAGACATGTTGAAATGTCTGCCAGTGCTGCTCAGTGCCACAGCTTGCCACTCACTTGAAGGTCTTACCAAAGGCAGGAAGGGCAGGAGGGACCACTGTGGTCTCTGGGCTGACTGGAGCACACGTGCTGTAGGGTTGCCTTGATCTAATTGCTCACATATTTTAGAGAGACGCCTAATCTTGCTGTTAAGAATGACAGAACGTAGAGCAACGTCTTACGGTAATTGTTTTGATGAATTACTGCTCGTAGCTTTCAGACACTGGATCCTGTCTGTAACTTTGCTGGGTGAAGGAGGGCTAGGTCACCATATTCCTGTCCTTTCTAGCACTTTGTGTCACTACTGTCCAGTCACTTCATAGGCACTAACCTCTCAGTTAAGCCACAGGAGTAACTTGATGTTTCCCTTGGAAGGGATGCTGCTCTTGTCCTTCAGTTGTCCTCTTGTTTTCTCAAGGGAATATTCTCAAGTTAGTTAACAACCTTCATGAAGGGCATGCACCAGCACTAGTGGAGGAATGGAGAGCTAAGACTGCCTTTCTGATCCCCTTTGAAAGTGCCCTGATTCCATACCCAAGGAGTACATTAGTCCTTTTAGCTGTATCATTGCCCTGGTACCTCCTCTACAGCCATCATGACCGAGTACAACAATAAACAAGCTCTTTTTCCTGCTGCCAAGGTGGAGTCCCCTATCTTTGAAGTATCACCTGTGTCACCTCTGTGCTTTAGCACACCATGTGCCATCCTGTGTGGCTGTAGCACTCAGTTTGCCAAGTGATGTGAGATCATTCAGTGAGACTCACCCTCTACTTTTCTCCTCTCCTGCCCTCCTGTCCCCAGTATCTCAGCTTCAACTGGGGCATCTCTCAGATCCTTTCTGAGAAAGTTTGAAGAATTTTGTCCTGGGATGATGGTTGGACTTGATAAAGGACTTTGCCAATCTGGTTGATTCTATTATTTCATAGCAGCACTTACAGGACTGTCTGACCACAGTCCTGTCTCCAGTCTTGCTGTTTAGCTGCCGATTTTGGGGTAGGAAGTTTTTGTAACCATTCAGCTACTCAGTATTTTCATGTTTGGAAGTATCTAGAACTTGGCCATTCGATCAGCCTGCGGCAGTGCTTTCCACAGTGAAGATGGCTTTGCAAGAGCAGAACAGAGGAGCTCCATGAGCGTCTGTACCTGTGTTGCTTTGTCTTCAGAGGGAATTTATCATCTGATTAACTACAGACTAAAACCTTTTTTCACTGAATTATTGGCATCCTTCAGACTGGTAGAACTAATATTCTTCTGTCTGTCATTGCATTGCTCAAACTCTTTCTCTTCCTTGTGTCAGATGGAGCAGCCTTCTCTCAGCGGGCTGAATTGAAAGACATACTATTTGTTTAAGTTGGGAGGAAAAAGAGGTCATTTTGGAGGTCTTCACAGCATTGAGACTTCTTTGGACCTCAGAGAGCAGTATCTGGACTGCAGAGGACTCACAGTGATGCTCTTTGTTTCTGACACTGGGTGGTTGGCTGATGACTACTTCTCTTGGTATGGGCAGGGAATAAAGCAGCGATTGGTGGGAATGGGCTTTGTGGGAAACTAGATGACACATAAGCAGGAAATTGTGATATCTGAGTACAGTTTTGTTTGGCAGCAATTGGAGGAGGACTATCTGTGGAGATTGAAAGGAAGTACAGAGCAAAAGCAAGCCTCCTGCCTAGTCAGCTGGCCAGAGACCAAGCGGAGGTGTCGTGACTTAAGCTATGGGAAAACCTAGTGCAGAATCTCCCACAGAATTACACTAACATTTACACTGAATCTCATCTTGGATCCATCTATTGCATGTATTGAGTATCTGTTCGCAAGCTGCTTTGGATGTACCATCCTCGGTCTCCAGTGCTGACAGAGAAGGTGAGAGCAGTTCACATTCAAGGTCTGTCGTGTCTCATGGGATTTTGGAAGTGAGCATCCAGTCCCAGCCTGGGTGACCTTCCTCCTCTCCTGTTTCAGAGTCAGGCTCTTGTGCTGCTGCGGCAGTCCAGGTTGGAGAGCTGCTCCATGGGGATAAGGATTTCTGAATTACACTGTATAGGATGAACAGGAGCTCGTGTTATCCATCCAACTTCAGGAATCCTAAAATACCACTCTATAGAAATCACTGGTAGCAAGCTTGAGCCGGGGGTTATGTGGACCTTGTTTCTTAGTGGTTCTTTGTGGCAGGTGGTTGGAGTGGGACTTGGCTTCAGGAGCCATGTCCAAATTTCCATGGGGGAGGGCCCTGAGGAATGAAGAGGGTTGTTAGGCTGTTTCTCCGTTTTTGTAATAGTGTTTTTTTAATCTGTGTGTTCCAGACAAGGGGCTTTCCTCCTGAAGGGTTTTCATATGACTTTTGGCATTGAAAATTCCTTGTGATCCTCAGTGTGCATTGCAGATACCAAAATGTAGATGCATTCAAAGAGCATATCCCAGTATTACTCAGGATTTCTCCACATGTGACTTGTCTGGAGATGGGGGCCAAAAGGCCTTTTCTTGACTTGCAGGATGAGAACTCTGCCTCCTGATTCCCTTCCATTACAAACAGCCCACTTTCCTTTGTATTGGTTGACAAGACAAGGAATGTAGCTGGAGATCTCTAGGATTTATACAAGGCTTAAGTAACAAAGATGTGAACTTCTCCCTGTTCAGAGCTCTATCACATTAGAAACCTGCTCTCAAAATTCACTCTTCCATACATTGGAATGGGGGACAGAGGAGCAGATACACCCAGCCAGGCTATGACAGTCAAATAGTACTCCTGGATGGATGGGGTGATGCTGCTGGAGGAGGAATGGGTTGGTCACGTGGCAGTTAAAGGTGTGGAAGGGAACTAACAGGCTTCAAGACTCTGTCCCCTCAGGTGAGTGGGGAAAAACAGTTTTGTTCCATGGGATCGGTGGATCCACAGTCGCTGCAGGTCCCGGTGCGAGGGATTCGTGAGCGTGGCTGTTAGAAAGCAAACCCTCCCAGAAGGCCCTCGAGCTGGGAGCTGACTGACTGTCCAGGCACTAGTTCTGAGTGTTCATATCCAGAGTTCTCTCGATCTCCACTCTTCGTGGCAGTGAAGACACAGGCGAGCCAAGCCAGCAAAAAAACACCGGCTTCAATAAACCGATGTTCTACCCTCCTGCACCGCACCCCTTCCGGTGTCCCACCGGCATCCCAATCCCAGATGTTCCGCGCTCCAAATTCTGGATCCCCAGGAAGCAAGGCCATCACAGGTACCAATTGCCTTTCTACCATCAACTTTCTTAACTGCTTAGTGTCCAGTCCTGCCCTGGGTTGGCTTTTCACCCTTCCTGGACTCAGTCTGCTCCATCCATGACTGTCCCAGAAAAACTACTCTCAGAAGCAGTTGAGTGGATTGGATCCTTTGGCATGTTCTAAAGGAAATTTCCATCAGCAGTAGGTCTTTACAACCTCTTCCCAATGACAAGTTTGGGTTTTTTAAGCATCATGCTAACCACAAGGTACAAAAGACCCTGTTTCAAATCCTGGTGTCACAAACTGAGGAGAGCTTCCAGACAAGGATTGATGTAATGGCTTATCAGGGATGGGGAGTTTTGTTTCATTTCCAGCTTTGTTTGTCAATTTACTGTTCGTTTCCCTCAAGGCTGGTATTTTAAGGGCTGGGCCTGTACCTGAGGAAGTAAAGTGGAGTGCAGGTGTCTTCACGGTGCTCCGTTCCCCATAGAAAACACCAAGAGATAAGCTGGGCTCCAACAGCAAAATTAATGGTACAGAGCCATTGCAGAGGGAGTAAAAAACTCAAGATTGATTCTTCTGTAGCCCCAGTTTCTTCCTTCCCAACAACATCAAACCTTAAAAAAGGATAAAAAATAAAGTGAGGAGCATTGAAAAATAACTGTTAATAAGTAGGATGTGAGCCATGGTGTTTATTTGCGCAGGCAACTGTGAAGCACTTTTAAACATGTGGGATTGATGGATACCTATTCCATCTCAGTGCAGAAGAAGAACGGGTTAATCAGTTGGTGTTTATACACCCCTGAAATGTCTGGCATGGACAGGTAAGAGTAACAGAGGTGGCTGTGGTGGGAGAGGCCACAGAGTGCTGAGCAGTGATGCTTTTTGTGAGGTAACACACACATCCACAGCTGCTAAAGGTGGCAGTGAGTGATCGTACAGGTTGTGACTTCTGAGATTCCATATTGCTATTGCACCTCGTAAGCATGTGTATGATTTTATTACTGATTTGAGGTCCATCCAGTTCAACCAAGTTAAAGCTGACAAACCTTTTTCAGAATTTACTTAAACTTGCACCAACTTTTTCCAGTTTCTGGATTCTCAGAGAAGTGAAAAAGCTGGGAACGTTCCTTGGGGCAGAGGCCAGAAGAGCAGTAACTGAGAGAGGATTTTTGTAAAGGCACTTTTCCCCCCACAATTCTCTAATCAAAAAACAATCATCGACACATTAGGTACAAACCTTGAGCTGCTCTCTTCCTGTATGGAGGAGGGAATCGCATGATGCTTGAGCCTGGTAGACTGATCTTAAAACATCTAGTATTACCCTGGGGGTCCTACCCCATCTATCTGGTGGTGTCATTTCTGTGGTGTCTTTCAAGGCAGTGTCCTGTACAGATGCAATCTGAGCAGCTTCTTGGGTTTCTGGTACAAGTGCATTGACCATAACACCTATCAGGAAGACAGTCTCCAGAAGGGATGCCTCCCGAGTGCTGCGGTTAGAGATGCTCCACGTGGGCCTAGGTAATACCAGAGATGTGGAGCATCACTCCTTGCAGGCTTTGCACAGACACTTGGTAGAGTGACGCTTTGTCTGTACAGATAATTTTGCTTTTCATGCAAAAGGTTCAGGTATGAGGGGAGAGAGAGACAATTTGTGTTAGCTGCCTTCTCCTTGTGGGAAGGACACGGTAAGACAGGGAAATGCATCCAGCCAGCTCTTTGTTATTGCCAGACTTGACAACCAATAAAGGATAGGGGATGAGGGGGATGAGGACAAAACTACTGTGCAAACTTCACTTCCACTTGTGACAGAAGCCAGGATTTGAACCTAGGTCTCTTGGGGGGTGGGTTGGCCAAATCCATTTTATTGTGGTCTCTTTCCCACTGTGATTTTCTAGTTACTTAAAGTCTCTCAATCCTGTTCTTTATCTGTCAAGGGGGGTGGACTAGATAATGTCTCCAGTTCCTTTTCAGGCCTGTTTTATGTGTTTCTGTTTTAACTGATTTGATTACCAAGTTTTCTTGTTGTCCTGCATTATAGACAGAGTCAGGACATTGCTTGTAATGGTGAACCTATACTAAGGGACCCCAGCTTGAGGAGGATGTGAGGCACCTCAGCTGTGCTGTGCAGTGACCTTTCAGGACACTGCAGCCACTGCCAGGGTCAGGAACCACCTCTGCACATTGGAAGGGTCCTCCCAGTACAGTTACTGGGAAATTGCCCTGTTATGTTGCTGCAGTGGGTGAAGCCAGTGAACTGCCAAGAGCTTGGGCTGGCAGCTCACTCCTGAGGAGCCCAGGCCTATCTGTGGGACCTGGGTAGGGATGCAGGAGCAAGGTCACTGTTGGAGAGCACAGGGGACAGGGTCTCTACTGCAGCTTTTCCAGGCATCGTGGGCAGCTCTGAGGCAGCCCCTCAGCCACCCTTTGAATGTTTCTGGGAGGGTGTTCAGGAAGGGAGTGCAGATTACTGGAAGCACAGGGAGAGCTGGGATAATGCTTCTGTAGGTCACACACTGCATGTTGTGATGAGAGCCCGAGTTCAACCAGCAGACCTGTACCAGAGGCTTTAAGGGCTGCTTATTGCCTTAAGAAAGAGTAAGATAAGGGTTGGGTTTTTTTGCAGGGGAGGAAGCCATGACCCTTCTGGTTCAGTCAGGACTGGTGTTCATGGGCTCCCTGGTGTTCATGGGCTCCCTAAGAGCCAATCCAGGCCACCTCAGCCAGAAGGCATTCAAGAAAAATACCTGTTACCCCATCAATGAATCTGGCCCATTTGCCTCCAAAACGAGGTATTTCACCTTTCTGCTGTATTCAGGGTATGTGATTGTTGGCACAGGAGGATGTTTTGCCTCCTGTCTGCTTGGTTCTGTGCCCACTGTTGACCAGTCACCATCCCTGCTTTGTTCTCCACCCAGCAGAAAGTGCTTTCAGCAGGAGAGTGGAAGGCAAAGCACAGAACAACTTTGAAGAAACAAACAGCAATTCTCAGAACTCCAGCGGTAAGTGTGTTCTCTCCCTCCTGCTGTTGCTTACCACGGCCCTCTCCAGAGCAGGAATCGGCTGTGGTTGGTGATTGGTGATCTGTTTGGGTACCTTCTTTAAGCTTGCAGGCTGCTAGCCTTCCTGGGGTATTGCCCTCTTCTCGCTCCTCTCCAGCTTCCCGGCACTCCAAGCATGTAAAAAAGGTGATATTGGGGATCATGCTCCCAAGGTCCAGGTACTTTAGCATAGATTTTTCTGTGGGGATCAAAGATGTAGAGAAAGGGGAATAAGGATGGAGATGAAGCAGTTCTTGTTCTTTGTTTATGTATCAGTGAAGTCTGTGTGAAACAAAGCCATTTGCAACCAGCAAGAGAAGTTCAAGGACTCTGAGTAGAACAGCAGTTTGCGTGCTGCAGTGATCCTAAATGTGGCAGTTTATTTACACTTCACTAAAACCAGAGTCCGGCTGTTTGTGAGTTCACTACTGCACAGAGGTCACAGCACACCAGATGTGTAGATGTAGGACTGAAATGTATGTGCTAGAAGGAATTAAAATTTACTTCTGGAGTTTCCTTTAAATTTTAACTCCAGGTGGTAGTAACTAAACAGCCACTGGGCTGGACCAGTTTATTTAGATACACCATTTGTATAGCTTACAAGGTTTTTGTCCTGCCAGCGCATCCCCCTGTCTTCAGGTGGGACACTGCCAGTCTCTTATGTTCCCTAACAGGAGCATAACAGACAGATCAGGTAAAATGTAATTTCAGCATCTCTATGCAGAGATAAATGATGTGCCAGCAGGAAAGGCTGGCCTCCCTCCGTTCCCCATTCGAGAGTACCAAAATATGTGGTGGTCCCAATGCCACTGGCTGGGATGAACAGGTAAGGGAAGGGATTTCTCCCTGAAGGAGGTTTCACAGCATCTCTTGATAGGGTTTATGTCTGCCTGTGAAGCAAATAAACAGCTTCCTGAAACTATATTGCAAAGGAATGGTGTGGTATTGGAAGACCCACGTGCAGTAGCAGAGTGGGTGATAGTGGATGGGAAAAAAAGTTGTTTTTTACTAAACTACTGCAATTGTGTTTTGAGGAACAACCCTGTACTAATCCAAGCATTCACCACAATTACAGCTGTTCATTCGGGGACAGAAAAACCTAAAGAAAAGAGGTGTAAGCAGAACCCATCAGGTGAGCTTGTCTCTGTGTTTCAGGCCCTTGTACTCTTTAGTCCTGTTCCACTTCGGCAGCAGCAGTCAGGAGTCGTTAGGGGCTGGCCAAGTGCCTTCAGTCAGCCCAGCCAGGCTGTTAGACATGACACAGAACTGGCTGCCAAGAGTTACCATCCTGACTTGCTGCTCTGAAGGTGGCCCCTTGCCCCTCAGCAGGTCTGCTCCTCATGTCTTGTCTTCTGCGGGTAGTATGAGTGGTTTGTCTGAAGGGTTTCAAGGCCTTTAAGTGCACATCTTCAAATGCCAATGTACCATTGGGTTCCTGACTCCGCTGGGGCCCTTTGAAAGCAGCAGCCTTAGATTGTTCCTTTTTTATGCCTCTCAAGCCCTGTATAGCCTACAGAGGAAGGACAGAATTACCTTCCTTCATATCAAACAGCCCATCTCTAAAGCCAAGAGAGCTGCATGTGTTATGTTTTGCAGGAGGGAAAAGAACCTGTATCATGGAGGGGGTCCAGGGACTACTGACAGGAAGTCAGTAGTAGCTGTACAGAAGAATCCAAGACTTCAGTCCTGTCTGAACTATCAAATACTAACCCATTGTTGCTGTGACACATCTCACAGATCCTCCTTGCCATCTCCTCATACCAGCTCACATCGCACTCATCCTTCTGAATCTCTTTCTATCTGAACTGCAACATTGAAATCACATGAGTAAAAGCTCATAGTAAAACGCAAGGGCAGAAGTTCTTACGAATAGAGTATTGAGTTTCATCTGGTTTGCCTATCTTATGTCATTTCTGTCTGCACCACATGTATTCTCAGTTTGGTTTAGTGGCTCAGTCTGAGGCGTGGGAGGGGAGTTGCAGGGTGCTCACCTGAACATCTGTTTGAGCCTGGAAGCCTGAGGAACTGGCGTGAGGGGCTCAGGACTGGTTTGAGGGGAGTTGGGATCTGGTTGGAAGTAGATCTTTCCTGCATTAAACAGCTGACACACTCAAAGCCAGACTGGTGCATTGGGATGTATAAACTTCTTCCCTTTTCTGTCTTCCCTCCCCTCTCCCACATTCTTTTTTCATTTCTCCAGCCCTGTTTTCCCCTTAACTCTGTCTTTGTGCTGTGTTGCTTCCTGTGTGTCCCATTCAGTGCTCTCTCCAGTTCTTGCACCAAGCCATTTCTTCTCTTTTATTTCTTCATGTTTTCAGAAGTCAGTGTAAATGTTCTCACTGATCACAGCCTGCGTGAGCATTGCCATGTCCCACTCTGAATGGCACTGGTGATTAGAGAGGCCATGGAAAGCTCTGCAGGCATCTGTGTGCTTGGGTGTCCAAGCAGAGCTCTCAGTAACTTCCTTTTTGAAAAGGTGACATGTCCTGATCTCCCAGTTTTCCTTCTTTCAATGGCTGTGTTTCAGTAGCTGGGACAAACAGTGTGACTTCATGTTCACATGTGTGATATGAACTCTTGGGAGTAACTCTGGTGTTGTTGGCTCATCCTTTCTTGTGCTCCAGGCAGCAGATTTCACACAGGTGGGGAGGCAGCTGGTGATACTGTGGTTGAGGATGACGGAAGGATGGACACTTCCATCCTCTCCACTCCCATCTGCTGCTTGTCACCAAACTCCTGCTGCTGTGAAGAACAGTGCCCAGGTTTGGGGAGTAAATGTAGGTCCTAGCTGAGCAGCCCGAGAGCTGTGTGGCTTGACCTCATTAAATGGTTGATTCCCTCTGCCACTTGCTCTTTGTCAGTGTGAGCTTTGTGTCACAATGATATAACACAGGATTTTTTCAGGCCACCCAGCTGTGGACATTTGCTCTTACCTTGTGTCACCCTCCTGACTGTCAGTGTCACAGACAGCTTCATGTCTGGAGTGAGGGGGAGGACAATCAGAGCAGCAAGGTCAGCAAGTAAAGCCACCTAAAGTAGCATTGAATGCAATGCTGCAGGGAGCCCTAGCTGGCAGTAAGACAATGAGAATGGAAAATGATGTCTCCTCCCTATGCACAGCCCCAGTGCAGGTACCTGACATCTTACTGCGCATAAAACAACACTGTGGCTGTGTTTGAGTCCCAACTACTAACAGAAGGACGGAATGATGGAGCCACAGAGCAGATGGAGAAGGACTGTTCAGCTGCTGTCCACCTCATGATAGGGAGCGTGTGCCTTCTTCCCATTAATACATGGGAAAGAGTCTCCGCAGCTCCTTAAACTTGCTTTTTGATGAAACCTGGAAGTCTCTCAGTAGTATGTGCTACAGTGTGCAGATTGCTTCCCTGTGCTTCTTCTGGAGCACAGGCAGCCAACACAGACATCCCACACCACGTGAAGCTTGTGATTATTCACTGCTGAACTAAGCAGGGTCCAGAAAACAATTATGTGACCTGATCCTGAAAGATGGAATTGGCTTCTTGCAATGTGTGAGCTCATGTAAGATGCTGTAAAGCTGCTTTCGAGGAAACTGTCCTTGGTGATGGGTTTTCTGCTGAGTCTTGGCATGCAAAGGGGCTTTTGGTACTGAATTCTCAAGGGGCCAGGCAGTATTTGAAGGCCAGCTTGAGAAATACTCTTCTGGCAGAGGCTGGTGGTGATCAGCCTGAGCACTGAAAGGAAGAAGCCCCAGAAGGGGTCAGATATGGGTATTGTCTTCAGCAGTGAAGGCTGCAACCTTCCTCGTCCACTGTACGGAGCTGGAGTGGGCAGAGCAGTGTTTCCATGGGAGGCTGCAGACTTGGCCCTGTGCCTGTGTAACCACACAGGTTCCTTCGCAAGGTTTTGGATCTCTCCATTGTCTCACTTTTTTGTCTGACCTTGGAAAGCCACAGGGGCAACGACCATCTCTTAACTTTGTGGTTACAGCATGATCCAGCCTTAATGTCTGGGTCTCAATGCTGTGGATGACTCCTTAGTAAGATGAAGCTTCTTGTTTTTGCACCACCTGTAGGCCAAGAGGGAGGGAGGAAATTGTAAGACTTGAAGAAGAGAAAAACAAAGCAGAAAGGGAAAGAAATCGTTCTTTAGATTCAGCCTAGACATCCAAAGGAAAACCTGATTGAAATGACAGTAGTTGTCGGTGTCTAAACTTGGGAGACAGTATGAATGGAAAGAGATAATATTTAAAATTACATAGGGAATTGGGAAATATTTTTAACTTTCAGGCTTGATTTAAGCTGCATAAATGTGTCTGAATTTCATCTGCTGCATTAGCTAACTATTGCCGTCATTAGTTCCAGTGGAACAAGGTTTAACATTTCCAGGTTTTAAATGTTGGTGCTTTTCATTCTATTTACCCAGAAAAGCTTTTCTTTCCAGCAGGGTTGATTCCAGACTGGGTAGAGGGGCAGGGAAATACCTTCTTCAATCAGTTCATGGCAAGCTGAGGTGAGACTGAGACCAAAACCAGTTAATTTCCTCCTTTAAGTTTAAAATCTATAGAAGTGCCAGTTCCCAAAAGTCAAAGGCCACAGGCCCAGATTTTAAACATGCACTTTGTGGGATTCTCAGGAATTCCAGTCTCTCATTTCCTTGTCTTAGGGACTGAAGTTCTTTCTAGTGAGTCAGTTGGAAGTGCAAATCATTTTTCAGTACTTTCCTGTGTATGCAGCACACTTGAGATAGTTCTGTTTAGCTACTCAAAATGTGCATAAGCAGCATCCCACGCTATATTAGGATCCTACAATATATTATGGTTCCTAATTCCATCATGCATTCCAACTGCATCCAGTTGTAGCATGGAACTGTTTCAAGCAGCAGGTTAATCAGAAATGTCTCATTCACCCCTTGCCACATAACCCAGTATTTTTAGCATGTGTTAAAGAGGGCAGTCTCAAACAGAAATAGGTTCTGTGTCTTGCTTAGCAACTGGGCAGAATTACCCTTTAGTTTTATGGAAAGGAGCAAAAAGACAGAGTGAAAATATCAGTGTTCTATCCATGATTTAAATCTCAGCAGCTTTGTTTGAGTCCCCCTTGCAACCTGTTGCAGTAGAAGTAGTTTGGCTCCTACTCCTGCCCTTGCAGTGCAGGTTCCCAGTGCACCCCAGTGGAAGCCCAGACTAAGACCCTGAGTAGTGGCTCCTGCCAAACTTCTGTACCAAAAGAGCTCTTTTGCACTGGAAGTGCAGGTTCTCATGGTGCACACACAGGAGGGGTCAGCTAGGTGTGTTAGACGCTGGGATCTTCCTTCTTCTCTGCTGATGGCCATACATCCTCTTCTGCTCTCTCTCTGTAGTCCAGTGATCATATAGCCCATTTGGTTGGGTTTCTTCTGGGAAGACTTGACTTTTAGGCTGGAATTTTTGGTGGGTGACTGCAGCTTTAGTGCCAGGGGTGTAATAATTCTTGGTCTGGTGGTAGCACAGCCAGCTCCCTGCGCTTCTGTCTCCAGAGACACGTATGAGTTACATCAGCTGGACTGAAAATACAAGTCCCATTCAAGTGATTCATCTCTTGGTAAATCTCTTTCTCATCTGCTGGTTGCTCTGCAAACGGTACTGCTGTCTTTCCACTGATGTGGGAGCTCCACGCCTGCTAAAGACCAAGTCTGAGGAGTGAGGAAAAGGGGGAGGAGGGATTGTAGTCATGTGAACTTCCACATTGGTGTAACTCAGCTGTGCAGAGCATGGGTAATGCAACACAATGGGGCAACACAATTGCACATGCATAGTAGTGCGTTTTTCAAAGCAGCCTAAAAAAGATGTGCCTGGATGCAGGGTGAGCACCTGAGTGCAGTTCTCACCACTAGAATAAGAGTAACAGAGAGAGAGGCATCAATTAAGAAAGTGTCACTTTGCTCTGTTGCATAAGTACGAGTTGCTGTGTCCACTGGGCATCTGCATGGAATTGAGGCTTCTGGGAATGGTTTTTTTCTGGTGCCACATTCATTTAAGTGGTTCCAGACTTGTCATGTTGAACAGGCAATTTATAGACAGGAAGAAAGATAATCTGGGATAAAATAACCACTACAGCAGCCACTCTGTGGGTGACATCCTTCCAATTGCTCAAGAGCCTTGGGACACCAGGA